TGGTAGGGAGAAGGATTCCCAGGATCAGTCTACATCAGCATTACGCTAAAATTGGAAACAACACCGATATATCGACTGCAATATCGGCTTTGAAGGTGCTATCAAACGAAGCTCAACCAGTGCCGGCTTTTGCGGTGATCTTCGCATGTTCGGATACACAACCTAACATGAGAGAACGCCTAGCAGGCAATTCTTATGGCTCGTCAAAAATTCCCGAATAAAGTCAAGGCCATAGTCCGGCTCGAGACTAAGTACGATTTGGGACTAGGCTTCGAATACGCGACTTGCAATGGTTGATAATCTACTACCTAGCTTGACGAGACGTGGGGAGTTGAGCATGGAGAGGAGGAAAAAGCGTGAAAAGCACGCGGCGCCGTGGCAGCCCCAGTGCGGAACTGACACCCTGCACATGCAACCCCCGTCTCCCTCCCGTCTGGGAGAGCAGTGCGACTGGGAAGCTGGTCCAGGGATGATGCATGAGCCTGCCTTGCACAACCCACTGGCGCCACGCCGCGCGCGTGAAAAGCTAGGGACGAGTGAGAATCCCGATGACAGTGAGATGTTGACGCCTCCCGCTTTGGATCTGCGGTAACATCGACGAGGTTTTATAGCTTCAAATAGGGCATGCGAGATGATGGCATACAGCGCGCTTGGTGATGCTCAAGCACAAGGAAAGACTTGGAAAGTATTAGCAACGGCGTTTTCGAGTAAATTGTCTCGGAAGAGTGACTTCTGCTTCAGAGAATCACAACGACCTGAGGAGCAACCCCTGCATACTGGGCAACGGGCTGCAGGCATAATCTGAGCCTCGAGTACTGGCTGGTGACTGGTCAACTCGCTTTTAGACCGACCACGGCACAGTTAAGGTATGGACTGTCGGTTGGTGCAGGCCCGAAGCATGCATTCAATGGACCGCTTACGCAACCTCCTTCTTTGTTCTCGAGACGCTTCCTGATGGAGGGCGTGATACATCGTAAGTATGTTCCAAACAAGATCATCACGCAGGTCACCCTCGGAACGGAAGCATATCGATAGAATCCCATTCCCGGCTGGCACGACAAGGTAAGGTCTCGCCCTGGCATGCCCTACACAGCAGTCACAGACACGCAGACGCTGTTCCCCCTTCCGCTGGCATCGTGGCACCGTGGCACATCCTTCAAAATGCTAAGCTGTATGCGTTCCCATGCAGCCGGACCATGCAGTAGTGGCGTACTTAGGTATCGGCTAGTGGATGCACCTGGAAGAGAGGCTAGCGGAGCGAGACACGGCTGGACCCAGTGCAAGGAGATCCCTGGACGCTGCCAATGGAGCGCAGCACTCGCATCTTCGAAAGAGTTGCAGTGAAATGGTTGATGGTTCAGCTGAGGGGTATGGCGGTCTGGGACGCAATGGGCGGTCACCCTCTGGCACGGCTTGGCTTCAGAGAAATCGACGAATTGACCTAACCGAGTCGAAAGGAAGAAGAACAAGAAATTCTAACAGACAAGCGACGACCACGTTTTGGGAGGAAAGCTCAATGCAACCCAGGTCCAAGGGCAGAGAGGGAGATAACAGCTTGGCCCAACACAGCACAGCACAGCACATCAAACAACATCCAGCAGATGACATCGGTTGGGTCTGGACGGCAGCAGAACAAGCACGAGCAAGTTTGGCGGCAGGTAACAAATGTCGGGGAGGAAATTCGTCGAGGGCAAATAATAAGGAAGTGGTGAGGTTGTAAGGATTGCAACCGAAAGTCTAGACCGACAATCCCACAGCTCAGCCTTCCTCTAGTATCCGAACTCTTTCTTTTTCCGATTTTGGCAAATGAAGCCAGCGTCTGTGCCAATCGGCAGTCGTTGAAGAGGTGTTTACAGATACCTGGTTGCTCAACTGGGTGCGAATGCAGACACCAAGCAGCACAGGAGAGACTACTGCGTAACTTGGGCCCTATATCACACGCGACGGTGCATGGAGCACATTGCGCGTCGTGCCATTGCGGTGGAAAGAGTGAAAAAGCTGCAGCTCGCAGCGGGTGAACGGGCTTGACAACCTGTCATGGACACATGTACATGGCCACGAGCCATTCCGCGCCCAGATCAGATGGCACCGGACTGGGGGTTCGTAAGAATTGTCCGAGCTCTCGATCAGGAACGGAACTGTGGGCCATCCTCGACCCTTGGGAACGGCGAACTTGGGTCACTGGGGACTGGGTGAGCAACCCATAAGAAACTGAACAGACCAGAGATCCGACTCTAGGTGTTCCTACGCGGCACAACGGATGGGCACTAGGCAGGTAGCATGGGCAAACAAGCCTGGTACCCTGGCGCGAGCGCCCTGGAAGATTCTTAGATGTTTGGTACGCAGCATTCGTACGGATACAGAGCCGGGGGTTCGAGGCAAGGATGCTCTTGCACAATGCACAGGATTGCTGCTAGACCTCGTCCCCGGCACGTTGGCGGGGAATTTGATTAACCACGGCTTCAATGGAGGTACGGATACGGACTCACAGATACGGAGTCTCTGACAGGACCCGTATCACTTCCGTGCCGGTCTGCTCGGTGCTCGTCAATAGCCAAGTGCGTGAACGGATACACTCTCCCCATTCATTGGTAAGTCAGGTCAGTTAGGCTGGTGCTGGGATTGCCTGCATAGAGATGATGTATGGGGGTTTGTCACACGGCACGAACACATTAGACCAGTCGGAATGTCATGCTACTGACAACTGTGTGCACAAGCTTCCTTCTTCACGAAGACTGGCTCCCGGCAGCGATGAGCCTGTCCGAGATACTCGTTGAAGCCCAGCAGTATACCTACCTAGATCATCAGGCACGACACCCTTCATGCTCTCCTCCCCCCTCACCTCTCTACAGATAGATGAAAGGGAGATTTCCCCCTCACGTCACGCGCCCTGAAAACCTATCATGAACAAGCAAGCCATTGGACTGCGATGTCCAAATTGGAGGGACGCTGGACCACAAGCAAGCAGAGCACATCCGTACACCCATGCACCAGAGTTTGGATGATCATTTCATGTTGGTCCCAGCCGCACGGACGATCTTCAGCGTCACAGACTCCATAACCGCGTCTCAACGGCGTCCTTCCCGGAGGCCCTTTCGTGGCCATCTGCAAGAAGCACAGATGGCATTTTGAAGGCGTGCCTGGGCGTTCGCCATGCCAAGTGCAGCAAGGTTCATCGTCCGTCGTGTCAATTCATACCGTCTCTTCTGGTGGTGGGGGCTCACGGGGGGCTCGCATATGGGACTGTTGTCCATTGACAAGTACCCAAGATCGTGGCGGACAGCATCTAGAGTCTCGACTTGCCGCCAAGATGGCCCTCATCGGGTAGCACGCTACTACGCTCGGAATGTGCACACACACATACACACACACAGACAAAGAAAAGCTCATTCACTCAGTCGGGAACCAGTAAGCATTGCATGAATTTCTGGGGGTGGGAGGGGGGGAAAGCAGTGGGATGCTAACGGGAGAGCAACGCCGCAGTACAGATAGGCATCTGTTGGAGGCAAGCATCAACCACTGATCTCAAGTGGTAGGTATTCTGGTGGAGGGAATAAAAGGGTTGAGCTGATGCAGGACCAGGGTTTGAGCTAGCCCCGAGAAAGATGAGAGCGAGCACACAGTTTCGAGTACTCAATCCACACCCCCCTTGCCATGTCCGAGCTCTTTCATACTGCAGTAGAGAGAGAGAGAGGAAGACAGACGCACGCTATTCGTACACACCCGAACAGACCCAACACTGGGCTGGGCTGACTCTATCCTTGTTCGAAGCAGAAAAGCACATACGTACCGTACTATATGCACTGGCGAACCCGCGCAGACACGACACCACGCTCCTCTTGGATGGTCGCGCGCCCGGAGACAATAGCTCAGGGTGGAGCCCTGCCATAACATGAGCCCAAAGTGCGAATAAGCTGGAGGAGGCCCGCCGGAACAGCAACAACAGGGTTGTGCTGAGTCCTGACCGTAGCTGACGGGGTTTCCCTCCCAGCTCTCGCCAACCCACAGTTCGGCACGAGGGTACAGCTACCGCTCACTTATTGCTTATGCATAAGCTGCGCAAAGGGGACAGCTCACCCAGAGGAGTGAGGGAAGGGAGATCTCGGCACCGGGATCAAGGAACCCTCTGGCGAGCGACAAACCATTTGGATGAGAATTGCGAGTCCTAACCAAACGAACGCGACGTCGTCGCGATTCTGCGAACCGTGGATCCGTCCCGCAAGGCCGACGTCAGTGCCAATCTCCAGCAGATCATCCCAAGTCTAGCGGTTCCCGGGGGAGAGGGTAAGAACCAGAAAGGTTCGGCTGAAGCACTTCGTCCTGAAAGGATAGGTCCAAGCATTACGTCGCTTGGACAGGAGAGACTAACCTCACTATCCTTAATCTGGCCCGCCGCGGGATGGGGTGTGGGTGAGCAAGGACCAGAAGCAGATGGCAGCAGGCAAGCCAAATCTTCCAAGCAAAGCAGGCAGGGCAACGGAAAGCACATGCGACTCGTTGTTGCTCGACTTGGGAAGAAGCCAATCTCAGGGGACAAGGAACACGGGACCCAAGTGTCTGGTGCTGGTGCAAGGATGGAGATGGGATAGGATGGACTCTCACCTGTGCAGCAACGGAGGAAGAACCAGACAGAGAGACGGGCCAGACAGGGTTCCAGCCTCTAGCCAAGTAGCCTCCCCGTTTCTGTATCTCTCATCCTCTTTCAGTTTCTCGCTCTCACAGTTCTCACTCACTTTAGTCTTCCAGTGTCTCTCTGAGTTCTGTCTCTCCGTCTCGGGGCTCTGTCTCTCAATTCACTGCCTCACCCGCCCTGACTACTTGGTACCTGGAACTGTCTCCAAGGCATACCTACCATACCTACATCATCCGTCGTCTCTCTTTCGCCCACGCCACCAATTGCTTCTTTCATCGTTTCTTTTCCGGCTGGCAGGTTGGCCCCTCCTCTCTGTCCTCCTGTCCTTTCCACCCCCTAAGCTGGTTGAAAAATGGCCGACTGAACGATGACAGACCTGGCTGGAACACCAGACGACTTCTCACCCCCAATCGCCATTCCCAATCCAGCTCGGGCTTCTACGCTTATGACCACACCCACGCCCCTGGATCGAGGATTTCTCTGTTTCTCTGCCCACTCATCTTCCCTCACACCCTCACCCCCTTCTTGTCCTCACACCTCCTCGTCTGTGTGTTTCCCCAAAGCAAGGAGCCTCGCGCGCTCCTGATACCTACTTGATCCACGCCGGCAAGAGAGGCTGCTGTCTTCAGTCTGGCTCATCCATCAATGAAGTAGGTATTAACTTTTAATCTCCAGAGAGGAGAGAGCGAGGGAGCCAGCCAGCGGCTACCTTTGAGCACCCGCACCCCCTTCTTCAGGAGCCCCAAGCTCACCCGTCCCGGCAGCCTGCTTGTGTTCCTTGGACCTTTAACGCCCAGACCTCGTTGTCCCAAGCCCCAGGAGGGACAGTCAAAAGACGCCACTGTTGTCCTTCTCTTAGGCAGGGTAAGACCCTACAGTACATGCTCGGGGTACCTCAACTATCTCACTGCCTTACAGACAAACCAAGTGAGCGAGCGAGCGAGTGACTACTGCTCTCCTCTTCTGCATCTTAACTCTTCTTCCGGCTGGGACTTGACGAAAGCCGGGCGGGTACGGACTGGCACAGAGACAACAGAGAGAAGACAGAGACAGGCTCTCAGGAGAGACACTGGAAGCACGAGTTTCTGTCACATCTCCCATCCTGCTTCTTTCTCTCACACTCACACACTATCTCGAGACCGACCGTCTCTACTCCCTTTTGGCTCATCAGACATTCCAACAGAGTCACTCTTGTTGCAACTAGCAGCATAGCAGAGCAAAGAGGAGCAGCAGACCAGACAGGACAGGACAGGACGGGGGACGGTTCAACCTGGGCATCTATCTGTCCATTCTCGCCGTGTCGTAGGGCAGGCGCTACTCCGTACTTCATAGACCATCTCTTCTCCTGGATTGTCAGACACACAACCCACCCCCGGTACTTGGAGCTGAGGCGCCCAGGGTCCTCCGGTAGCATTTGGTGTTGGACTTTACCCATTCACAAGCCCCCTTCAGCCCTCCCGAGCTAGAGGGCTGGCTGGCCTTGACCTAAGCGCACCTGGTCTAGTGTCCCAAGTCCAAGTCCCGCACCATCAACGAGCTACATATATTCGACAGCCGCCTCTCCACACTGGCAAGGTAGACGGGACTGGACTGGCAACTAAGGCGATCGACGCACGATAACTCCTTTCGACATCTCGCTCGAAGGATAGCTTAAAACCTGCACACAAAGCCTCCTTTCGACCCCGTCCGCCAGGCCTGCCATCTATTTACTCCGAACCCAATCCACCTTTTCCATCAAGCCTTACTCCCAGGGCAGCGTTCCTCTCCTCATCTCAGGGCCCGACAATCCGTACAATACTTGTATACCTGACACTACCTTTCCTGGTTACCTACCTATCCACCTTACCTACCTACCTTGGCTACCTGAGCCGTCCTTCTCACTCTCGTCAGCTTTGTCTAGTCTTGTCTTGTCTTGCCTTCTTCTCTCATTCCTGCCCCCAAGCCCAAGGTCACGACATTCCATCACCCACCAAATTCAGACATCTGATTGCGCCGTGTTGGACTGTCACCGGTCATCATCGTTGTCGAATCCAGTAGCGGCGGAAGCCTCTCATCTGTGGCATTCCTAAACACCGCGTTGAAGTTCCAGCTTTTTTCAGCTCCGACGCCGCATCCCTAGAACGGGACCCGCCAACAGCAGCTGTTTCCGAGCTGTCTTGAGAAGGACAGAAAGAGAGAGAGAAGAGAAAAAGAGACCCGGGTGCCTTACTTTGCTTGACATCCGCCGCGCCCCATTACCGTCAAGGTTGGTAGCTCAGTCACGTCACTTCAGACTCTGTGCTCCCGCTTCTCCTGCTCCTGCCGCTCCTGCTCCACCAATCTTTCGGTCAGGCACAAGTACCGACAGGTCCAGTGTGCCTGCTGGATTAGTCCGCCCGGCAGCAACTATCCAAAAACAACCAGTCAAAAAAGCAAGAGCTCGCCCGTGGCAGGAAAGAACGAGGAGGATTCGAAAAATCACCAAAACCTCAAACACCGCGATCCCCAACCCAAAATGGCAATGGAGACTTCTTCGAGCTTCACGGCTCGAAGACAAGCAACACAGGCTTTGCCCCCATTCCATCTTCCGTCGACAAACCAAGATATACCGAGTATGAGTAGACATTCTCATCAGTACCCTTTCAGTTTTCACAATCAGCCTCTGCAGTCGCCATCATCGTGGCAAGCCCCCGCGATGGCTACGCCGTCGGCTCCCTCCTCCTCCTCCGCTGCCTCAAATACTCAACATTCTCCTGTAACCGCCAGCTCTGGTCTAACATCGCCTTCAGGAGTGCCAGGTGAAGGGCTTAGCCCGCTCTCTTCCGGTGTCAACACCACGAGTTCCCAGAGCTCCTACTATCCTGGAGGTAACGGCCACGGATCATGGCCCACGCCCTCGAGTTCCTACCAGCTCAGCTCTGGGACGCCCCAGGGGCTCGTTCAGACCTCTCAGTATGCCTCCCGCGGGAGCACCTACGATCAGCAATCTCCAATGTCCTACTCTCGCACTTCGCAATCACCCGCAACTGGCGAGGGTCTTCCTCCACCGCCCTATGGGCAAACGCACCAGTCCTTCCAGGCTTATTCTCATGGAGGAGCGGGATCTACACCAGTCAGTTTGCCATCTCAGGGCCCACCAACACCTCAGGGTGGTATTCTTGGATCTCACGGTGCTGTCTCGACGCAACCTCCAACGCCTGGCGGTCTACACTCCCATCTTGATTCCTACACCCAGTCACGACCACCAGCGACACCCGGCTACTACTCCACATCATCGGCCCCCCAGCAATCGTTCAACAACTACCAACAATCCCACACATCGCCCACCGCTCCTTCTCCGACGACTTCGGCGGGTCCAGGGAGAGGACTTGCTGCGCTCCAGCACCCTTCCGCGATGGCACCCCCTGGCTCTTACCGCTACCCCGGTTATCATGTTCCATCGATGGGAGGACCGATCATGTCCAACCTTACTTCCCCTGGGCACCAGATGTCACTCGTGACTGGTATGGGTGTCCCCAGCGGTTATGGAGCACACCATCTTGCACCGTCAATGTACGGCCACACCCACGGGGGGCAGCCCAACCCGCAGGCCGAACGGCCGTTCAAGTGTGATCAGTGCCCACAGTCATTCAACCGAAACCACGACCTGAAGAGACATAAGAGAATTCATCTTGCAGTCAAGCCCTTCCCTTGCAACTTCTGCGATAAGAGTTTCTCTCGCAAGGACGCGTTGAAGGTCGGTTCCTAACACCCCGAGACAGTTGCACGGCAGATCTTTTAGGAGATGAACAATAGCTGACGAACATCACAGAGGCACCGACTAGTCAAGGGTTGTGGTTCAAAGGAGGGTGATGGCCAGAACGAGAACGGACGACGCTCCTCGCAAGATCACTCTGACGACGGAACTCCTCCACTCAAGCGAGAGTAGATGGTCACAGATTGCCGCTCACGACCTTCAATATTCGACTCGCTTTATCGAATATACGGCTTAGATCATCTGCAGTCTCTTGGACATCCCGAGGGTGGTCATCGTCAACTTAGGTAGCCAGGCGTCAACGTGGCTTACGACCGCGATGACAATACCTATGCACATGAAACCGCCAAAACCACAACATGGGGGATCCACGGACATAACGAAAATTCGAAAGACACGGTTGGCATTCGAGGAAGAATGCCTAGCAACAGACGCTTCGGAGAAAACCTTTCTTGAAAACTTATTTTTAATTCGATCACCGGCCGTACATCGTATCATTTCTTTTCTACACGCACGGTTATACACGAAAACCTCGGCGTTATACTGACACCACGGAACATTAATGGAAAGAGACTACCAGGGTCATAGAGGGGGCCGGTTGGGACTGTGGTCACTTTCGTTCCCAAAGCTTTCTTTCGCTACATGCTTTTTCGGGAAAATCACTCGTGGGCACGAGGACCAGTTGGACAGGACACACGGGGTCGGGTTTGTTTTTACGGCGAATGGTTGCGGCATCGTCCTCGCTACACACGGATGCGGGATAGGGCGATGCCAAATTGGGTACGGCTCCACGGAACACCTATACATCGGGAAAATGGAAACTGGCGCAGGCACTCACGAATCGGATGGGTCACGATGACGGAGGATGGCCTAAAACGACAGTCAAGGTTGAGTCATTGATTCTGTCAAAGTTTGGACGGGCATCTGGAACGGTCGGGTTTTGTACGCAAGAGGTCGCAGGTTATCAAGGTGGTATAGTGGAGTTGGGCATCAGGGACTGCTTTGGGAGATACCAAGATTATCAAAGAGACAGGTGACTGTACATTATTACAAACGCAAGAGAGCGTTCCCTGGGTAATCGACCCGATATGAAAATTTCGAGAGAAATGAGTAATGCTCTACACATATATCGAAGTCTCGCGAACGGTAATGGGCCCGTTGCTTCACAGAGTGTCATAACGGTACTCCAGAGCTACGAGAGAAGCACAATAATGACAATTGTTTGGCATGTGAAGGATAATGAATCTTCGCCCCTATTCTCAAAGATCTAAGCTCGATCGATAATATTGACCGTAATGGTGTTCAGGATGGTTCACGGAGGAACATCCTAGAATATCAGACATCCGCACAGCATGGCATCTCTACACTCTCGACCGGAGAATTCAAGAGACTGAACCGGCAAGAAATCACCATTTGAGACAGAGCTGTATGAATCCATCGAAACAGAAGTCTATAGATGCTCGAAACTGGTCGAATCACTTTCTCATCCTTTTCCTCCTCCTCATCTGAACCAAAGGCAGATTAGAGCCAGAGCCTAGTGAGGATTACGTGCAGAGACTAGCGGATAGGAAAGGATGGCGTGAACGGAACGGACAAGGCTGGCGGGCAGGGCGTATGGGGGTGTACATTATAGTTTTCGGCTTTTTTTGGGCTGGTTCTCCTTCTCACCTCTCGTTTTGCTCTTGGGGAGCTTGGGGCTTTGGGCGTAAGGGAACGTGCTGGCGTGCGTGAACGGCCGCATGAGATCAGTGCGAGGGGGGGGGGGGGGGGGGGGGGGGGATGGGATGACAGGTGTCTGTCTGTCGGTCTTCTCGCTCTCTGCAGGAAATGAAAAAATAAAAACAGATGAAAAA